TTAGATTATAAACAAATATATATATATATATATATATATATATATATAGAAAAAAAGAAATAATAATTATCATTTGATTTAAGTTATATCACAATCAGTAAATAATAGCATAGAGTAGATTGAAATAACGAGACATCGATATATTTTGTACATTGATGATGTCACGAGGTACAGTTGCATGATTTATACTTGAGAATTTCTCGACAACAATCTTAGTTTTTATAATAAATTCGCAAAATTTAAAATAATATTTTCTGATAATAGTAAAAATAACGTATAATAAAGATAAAATTAGAAAGAAATTTATTCAATACATATCATAACTAATTGTAGAATTAAAATAAGTCATAACCTCAATTTTAGAGTTTATGTTGAAAGTTCTATCACCGAGAGGCGCCACTATCAAGCAATCGCAGTCTCTGATAGACTTTGCCGTGTAAGGAACTTTCATCGCCAATTTAATGTAAATATTACATTTGTTGAGAATTTAGAGTTTATTTTAGCGTACATAAGTTCGAAATTATCGTTCGTATTCCCTGTGCAATTCGTTGCTGGGCGTCATTTCGTAATATTTCTCGTTTAGTCGAGATCGGCAATAACCAAAAAATTTCTCCGTAGGTATTCTTTTTTTCCTTAATAATCGTTGATTTTTTTTCTAACATATCATTAATGATAGATTTTGCATTTTGAATTAACAAATTCTATATTTTTTAAAAGAAAAATCTAAATTCTATCGAAATTTTTTCGGATTATGTGACGTTTACTGTTTAGAATAGTACAGTGATTAATTTTTGTTCACTAGCCAATTGTTACACGCATATTAATAAGTTAAATTGTATATTCAATATCCTTTTTATGCTTGCCTTTCGTGAAATTTTATTTTAAAAAATATAACTTAGCTTTTTTTTACTAAAATATGTTAAATTTAAGAAAAAAGAAAGAGAAAGAATTTTTTTAAATATTCTTAAATATTTATTGAAAAAGATTATGTTTAAATTGTATTATTTATATACTAGACCATTCAAGAAACAATGTGTGTATGTATCTTGTAAATTTAATTTTGGCTTAATATATACTTATAAGTAATATATACATATGTAATTTTAAATATGCTACAAGCTCATATGATTATATTATTTGTAGTTTACATACTTTTTTATATTTAATATAACTATTTGTTAATTTATATTTATAATTTTCTCTAATATAATGTTTTAAATAAAAAAAATTATAATTCTTTATAAATATTCAATTATTATAAACTATTTTTTACTTCAATATATTATGTATATAAAAAATAAATATAATCATATAACTTGTTTATGCATTCATATGCATATATATATAATACTTAATACAATATTTTTATTTATTGTCATAAAGAAATTATTTATAAATTTAATATGATAAAATTATATTAAATTTCATGATAAAATTATCAATGGAATTTTTTATTATTTTATTACAGATGATTATATGAAAAAGTATATTGAGATTTAATTATACTCTAAGCTCTTAATAAGCTTTTTTGAGAGATTCTGAGTGTAAATTAAACAAAATGAGGGTTGTTGCACTAGTCAGTGGTGGTAAAGATTCATGCTTTAATATGATGCAATGTATAGCTGCAGGACATGATATTGTGGCTCTAGCTAACTTATATCCTGTTGGGAAAGGTAAGTAATAAATAATAAATTATATTAGTTTATTTAAATAATAAATAACTAATGAAACAATTTATAGATGAATTAGATTCATTTATGTTTCAAACTGTTGGATATCAAGGTGTTGAATATATTGCAGAAGCTATAGGTTTACCAATGTATCGTGAACCAACCTTTGGTAGATCAAAAATGCAAGAAAAATATTATTATCCAACAGAAAACGATGAAGTTGAAGATCTTTTTAGGTTGTTAAGTAAAGTAAAGGTAACATATAAAAAACATATATAAAATAACTTTGTTAGTATAATAACCTTGACTTTTTTGAATTTTTAGGAAAAAGAGAATATAGAAGCTGTTTCATCAGGTGCTATTCTCAGTGATTATCAACGAATTCGAGTGGAAAATGTGTAATTATTTAATGCAAATTTTAATTGTTAAAATATTTAATTTTAACTGAATATTAAATAAAAACAATTATTTTTATTTTGGCAAAAATTTATAAATAATATATCTAATAATAAAAGTTTATTTTTAGATGTAGTCGTTTAGGACTTGTTTCTTTATCATATCTATGGAGAAGAGAACAAGATGAACTGTTAAAAGAAATGATAGAAAGTTCTGTCAATGCAGTTATAATTAAGGTAGCAGCTTTAGGCCTTGAACCAAGACATTTGGGTAAATCACTTTCTGAAATGCAATCCCATCTTGCCAAAATAGTAAGTAAAATGTCTTAATGATTAATTTAATATAAAAGATTTTCTTTTGATATTACATTAAAAGTATTCCAAATATAAATAGCTCATAAATAAGTATATGTAAAAGAAATTTATTTAAATTGTAAACAAGCAGATATATGTTATTTTAATAGCTACATATTTATTTATAGAGAGAAAAATATGGTGTTAACATATGTGGAGAAGGTGGAGAATATGAAACCTTTACATTAGATTGTCCATTATTTAATAAAAGTATTGTAATGTAAGTTATCAAATTTATTATTAAAATAAATAAGACAAAATATATATTTTTTTGTTTATTTTAGAGATGAATATGAAAGTGTTGTTCATTCAAATGATAACATAGCACCCGTCGGATATTTAAACTTTAAAAAAATTCATGTTCAAGAAAAAAATGTGAGTAAAATTGTTATACATTTTTAAGAATTTTTATGATTAAAATAAATAATTGAAAAAAACTTTATTTAGGATGGTATAGAAGGATTAACGTTACAAGAAAGACTAAAAAATGTTCCTATTAAAACTCCATTTGATTATATCACAGAAATAGTTGGACCAGAATTACATGATGGTTGTAATTTATCGGAAGATGAAAATGATGAACATGATTGTACAGACAGTAATATAAGAACTTCAAATTCTGGTATTATTTTTCTGTTTAATCAATTAAATTTTTCTATTTATTATAGTCATAATCATATTGTCATAGTATATTAAATTAATGTAAAAAAATTAATGTAGGTCAATTTAATCCACCAAGTCCTATGGAAATTTTATATGAAGAAGAAGATTATCCTGATGTGCCCATAGTAAATAAAAATCAAACTGGCTGGTTCTGGTTTGGTGGTATTGCTGGGAAACATCCGGATGCTAAATCTGCGATGCGAGAGGCATTGGAGAAATTAAGCAGTAGGTAAACTTTAAGTCTTTCAAAACACCTTTTAGTTAATTTTTTTTCTTGTAATAGTGCATTTTGGATTTGATATAGATTGATAAAACACTCGTATCGACTGTCTAGGTCTAGTCAAAAAGGAAAATCTTCAAATATCGGACATCGTTGCCGTAACATTATATATAAAAGATATGTCAAATTACATATCTATAAACGAAGTTTATATCTCATGTTTGAGCAAGATAAATCCACCAGTCCGTGTATGTGTGGAATGTCCATTAAATATACATGTTGTACTGGATGCTATAGCTTATAAAGAAACTCAAGACTGTGGTGATAAGAAAGTTCACAAACGACATACAATGCATGTTCAAAGCATAAGTCACTGGGCACCTGCAAACATTGGTCCTTATTCTCAAGCTGTTCGTGTGAGTGTACTACCGTTACAAACCAATTTGCGTGCGCGTCTCTGTGTGTATATGTAGATAAATGTGTGTATGTGCGCATTCTTACGCGCACGCACACACATCTGGTTTACAAAAGAAACATAACAGTGAGGTAAACAAAATAAATTTTCTAAAATGAAAATAAAAAATTAAGTATTTAATAAGTAAGAAAAAAAAAATTTAAATTGTATTTATTAATATTTTTTAATATCTTTTATATTATATTATTTAATATCTTTTAACCAATTTTAATTAATATATATAAAAGAGATATAATTATTTTTGTTAATAGATGTATATAAATAATAGTAGTTAATAATAGTAAATAATATTTGAAGATTTTTGAGATTTTTTAACAGAATTATAATTATTTATTTGGTAGGTGGGTGATATTATCTCAGTTGCTGGACAAATACCATTGGTGCCTGGTAGTATGACTATTTTGGATTTAAATATTAAAAGACAATGTCGTTTAACATTGAGACATATAGATCGTATTGTTAAAGCTATGGACTCGAATACACAACTCAGGGATATTGTGCAAGGTATTTGTTTCTTGACTCATTCTAGTTATATACCAGACGCACGAAAAGAATGGGAAAAACGAACAAATAATGCTATTGTGGATTACATCATTGTACCAAATCTTCCACGTGGTGCTCAGGTTGAATGGTGCGTTTGGGCTCATAGAGATAATAATAGATTTGAATGTAAGTATGAAAATACAAAAAATATAAAATCTTCATCAAATATTTTTCTCAACAATTATTTTATTATAGATGAAGAGACTGGTAAATGTGTAGGTAATTTCAAAGTGGCAATAAGACGTAGATGGAATTATGAAAATAACGTTTCAGCAATTGTGTGTTACATGTCCACTGGTACATATTTTTATCTGAATATTTTTACATTTTTTCATAAACAAATAAAAAGGTTTCTCTTTTAATTAGGTTCATCCAATTCAACTGGTAATTTAGCCACGGAAACGAATTTACTTTCTACGGAATTAACTATAGATGAACTAACAGAGGCACTTGAATATGTACTCTGTAAACTTACAAAGGGATCCCAAACCATTAATCCGACATGCAATTTACGCATTTTTTATAAAGTTGGCAGTTCGCCAGGACCGAATTTTGTTCAAGATGTTCTTTCTAAATTTTCTACGCGGAATTTAGTTACTACTATTATACCGGCAACGCACTTACATAATTTCAGTACCTTTTTATCTATATGTGGTATTAGACACGAGTAAAGTCTAATAATAGTTTTTACGTTGTCAATTATATACAAAACATTATTGTGTCGTAAAAGAATTGCAAAAATTTTATTTGCCGTTTAAATTATTTCAATCAATGAATATAAATCAAGAACAAATCGATTTTAGTACGAAATGAAAATGATTAACGGCTATGTCGATACTCGACTATGGTTGTAAAACTTTATATATTCTAAAGGATAATTACTTAGCAGTATCAGTGCTCGAATATAATGTTATTTTTCACCTTTTCTACTGATTGCTTGTTGGGTTTGCTCAGAATTCACTTGACATCTGTCAATAGTATATTTATATTCGGCTAGTCAACGAGACGTTAATGATTTTAAATCATTTTATCTCGTTAGTATAAGTGTTCTACGTAATGCAAAACACGTTATGTCATTTCATAATGTGTGCTGTATGCTATGCCTCGTTTTTTGCTCAAGTTGTTTTTTATTTTTCACAATTTCACGATACGTGCGGAGTGTTAAGTGTGTGATTTTGAAAGAATTTGAAAGCGTGCACAGCCATTTTTATAGTAGCGCTCAAAGTAAATTGAATATTAAAGAAAAAAGTATCAGACGTATTAGGGGAAATTGTACATTTTAACATCAAATATGAAAAAAATCTAGTTTATGCTCTTTCTAATCTTAGTTAAAAAGAAAAGAGAAAAAAGGAAAAATGAATCGATATGCGGAAATTTAAAACACGCACTTCTTAACGATTGTCTTCTTTCACTTTTGAAATGCTGCCGATGTTGTTCCGCTATCATTTAAACTTTGTATTGTAATGGCAGACACATGTAGCTTTGCAAAAGGATATAAAATATTTACTTCGCAAAAAAGATACTGTGTAAATCCTCGGTAGTTTCTGCATAATTGATCTAATGCTTTAGAGATACGTCTTGTACAAAAATATGCTATATATTAAAATATTTTTGACAGTATAATATTCATGCAACGATATGCCAAAGTTTGTATTTTACAATTTGGTCATTGTTTAATCAATTTTAGTATTATGATCTTATTTTCTTGTATATATTACTAAATAATCTAAAAAATTTTGCATTGTATTATATAATGTAATTAGTTTTGAAAATAATTGGTTATTAATTATGGCTAAACGGCGAGAAAAGATAAATTTCTGAAGAACATGAAACATATTATTCACGATGTGAATATTATGTTACTATAAATATGTAAAAATATTTGCAAGGCATACTCTCGCAACAAAATACTATTCCGAGGATTATATTGCAAAGAAAAATAAAGAAAGTGATATATATTTTTAAGAAATTGCTATTTTGTTTTATATTTTATTATGCTCCCTTTTTACCTTCATCATACATATGTATTAATTTTCATTTTTTTTTAAATCTATAACTAATAAATTACAAGATTGTTAAATTTTATAAATTGAAATTAACTCTAAAAATTAGTATTAAACTTACGCATATATATGCATATAACAAATATAAACATTTTAAAAAACAGCACCATATATACATTTAAAAAGAAATGTTAAAGATAATTATAAAATTTATATAATACTGTAAAACAGTCTTCCAATAATGATTTCCTTATTATGATACGTAATTTTATATGTAATATATAGTGAAAAGAAAATAAATTATATGAACACAATTTGTTTAAAAAAAAAATTTTTTTTTCATTTTATAGTAGTACTTTAAAAAAGAACTATCGACATTTAAGTATAAAAGGATAAAAATTATAAAGAAAATTGGAATCTTTAAAATTTTTACTTAAACATTAACATTTAAAGTGAGATTTTTATATATTTTAAACTTTATATATAGCTAATTATAACTACTTTTATGTAACAAAATACTCAATTTTTTAAATTGATTATAATCATATAATTATGTACAACGATATTTTTTCCATTTAAAAATTCATATGAAAGATTTATGATAAATGAATTTTTTTTTTACTTAAATTTTCATAATATTATTCATTATCTACATAAATAAAAAAATTTCTATTTTATCAGTTTCTCTATGCGCGGGATTCATATTTTATACAACCCTCATCTTTAAACAAAAATTATATAGTTTATATTTATTTACGTTTTCAATGTTTTCGATACTAATGGTTTCATCATATGCTGACGATTTGGTGCACAAAAATCACATAGATAATTTTTCCTGTCTAATGGCATTCCCTTGGTCTCCACGCAACCTATAAATATTAATGATATTAATGAGAATAATTTTTTTATTATAATGACAAATGCCAATTATTAAATATTTTTTTATATTTAATATTTTACTATACCTGAAACCTTTTTTTTATATTTGAAATAGTTAATATATTTTTAAAGACAAAAATATTTGATGAAACATGCAAATGCAATGACATGCAATGAAAAATATATAACGGAATTATATGGAATTTGTGTCAATACCTAAGTGCAGATATTTGTCACATGCGCTGCAATGCACTAGATTTGCTTCCAGGTCGAGTCTTGGCGCAGTATGACAGCGACTGCAGTGTGGGCAATAGCGACCCTTTCGCCATAGCCTTGTTATTACATAAAGATTATGGGGTTAATGAATTTGGATAAGGATTCATTATAATGCCAGAATTTAATATAACTGATGAAAATCTGAATCTTTGTCGATTTATCTTAAACATGCATAAATTAAGTATAGATAAATGTATGTTATTAATTAATTCAAAAATGTTATTAATTAATCAAATTGTATATATTTAACTTTTAAAACCCAAAGATTCAAATATGATGACATTGTGAATGTGAAACATTAGTTTATAAACCTTTTTTAAGAAGAAGATTAGTGTGAATTAAGGAAATTGTGAAGCAATAATGAAGCCCCGTGAGAATTTGAAAACTAGCATTTAGTATATGTATTTTTAATCACATTTTCACTCATACATTACACCATAAGATGAAAGAAAAATTAGTACTACTTACTTTGAACATGGAACACACAGCGTTGAAACATAAACACGAGTATTCTTATCACCTTTTTTATATTCATGTTGCCATTGAGCAACACTGTTTCTATCAGAATTTATACCACCAGGTTCTCTTGAACTACAATTTGCACAGACAGCACATTCTTGACAATGCCATCTTCCTTGAGGTACTCGTCGGAGACCAACGCAATAAATATGATACCTAAATAAATTATATATATTATACATATGATTGTATTATGTATTTTATATTTTATAATAAAAAAAAAGCATACCCTCTATCACACATATCACAAAAAAGCATTTTATCTTCGTCAGCAGGATCATGACATTGAGCACAAGTTTTACAATCTGTGCATTGCCATGCATATGATTGAATATGAGGAACCATATCTAATGTTAGATCTATACATGATGGGTGAACTATAATAAAAATATTACGATTTTTTGTTATAAAAGAATAAAAAATACATTAATAAAAAATGATATAAAATAATTACCATGTCCATTACATGTACCACATTGAATTAAAACTTCATTTTTACTATGTTTATTCAATGTTTTTAAACACATTTTACATTTTAATTTTATTTCATCTTTTTGGTTTGCTATTTCCATATCTACTTCATCCATTGTAGATTGAGAACCTTCCGTATCCTGTGTTCCCTCGCTAGAAGATGAACTATATATAAAAAATAAAAAACTATTCTTTCACAAGAAATAATAAAATGCTAAGTTTTAAATAATAATACGAACCTTGAATCATCTGAAGATGAATCACTATCACTATCACTTTGAGATCCTTCCGATTGACTATCAAATTTACGTTCATTTGGTCTCATAGGACCATAGAGTACAGTATTAAGAGGATAATATCGTAATTCGGCTGGTGTATATTCCCGATAATAATCTGTATATTGTCCTGGTATCAATGCAACAGGATAGTGACCAATTCTTCGTTCCGTTTCAATTTTTAATTGTTTTTTTGGCACATGTATTGTAAAAGTTTGTAAATCTAAGCTACATTTTCTATTTTCTCGTCGAGCTTTATTTAAATTAATATTCCAAGATAATGCAGATTGAACTGCCATTTCTGCTAAATCAATTCTATTTTTTTCAGCATTTGCAGCTGCTGTTAATTCTTTTTGTTTTTTAGAATGTTCTTTCACTTGTTTTTCGCGCATATGTTTACGATATTCTTCATATTGATCCGGAAAATCACTGCACATTACATCTAATACTTCTGAACTGCATACAGCAGTTAATCCTAAAATAGCATTAATAAAAAATATACTAATAAAGAGTAAATAAAAAATATTAGTAAATAAATAATTTATAAATAACTTACCCATATCACACATTGCTTCACTGACTAATCCATTTTCTCTCAAATAATTTCTCTCTTCCATATCCACTACTCTTCTCTTTAAATCTGGATATTTTCTTTTGAAAGATTTTACACCAAGATACTGAGATATTTGTTCTTGTATCATAAATGTTTCACCTTTCCGGTCTAGTGGCCATTCATATTCAGCAATTTTATCGACAGTAAATGGTCCTTCGTCTGGATCAAAATTAATTTCCATTCTTCGATTTTTAACTTTCACTTTTTCTGATTCTGTGGTTGCAGTACTAAGTACACTTCCTTGGGATTCCTCATTTACCATAGTTTCAGAGGCTATGATATTATAAAGATAATATAATACTTTATATTTAAAGACATAACCAATTACTATATAATAATATGTTTTATAATTTAAGTTAGAATAAGAATTATATTAAAAATAATTATGTCTTTATTAAAATAAGTAAAAAAAAATTAATAAATCAATTTAATTTCACAATTAAGATTAACAATAAACATCTATGTTATTAAACTTTTCAAAATAAAAATATTTTTAAAAAAATATATATTGACATAACAATAAAACACTAACCATTATGGTTTTAAAATTCTTTTAAAATATATATGTTAATACATATTCATTATGATTTGAAGTAATAGTACATTTTGTGCTTAATTTAAATACATCTCACATTTAGGTGCTTGAGAGATGTTAGGACACAAGAAAAGATCTATTTATAGATATCTTACTTGGAGGTCTACCAATACATTTATCTTTTAATTTTGTTTAGTCATATGATGACTATAATCCATACATGCTTTTCATTATTATCATTTTTTTGTTTTGACAATTTATTATTATTTTTAAAGATATAATAAAAATATATTTTATATTTAATTATATTATATAATTAATATATAATATAATTGGTTTTAATTGTTAACAAATAATAATATAAATATTTATATAATAAATAAAGTTATTATTACTTTTTATTTATAATAATTATTCTAAATATAAAAAATAAAAATAATTATTGCGTTATTGCATTTTTAAAATTAATATATAAATAATGCAGTAATTTATATACATACTTGGTGCAGAAATATTTCTAGCTGGAGTTTGAGACCTTGAACCTAATTCTGCACTCATTCTTGTTTCCTCATCTATTACTTGCACTGTAGACATATTCTCATGCTTCGTAGCATTTTCTACTCGTTTTGATGCTGGTGTCAGCCAGTTAGGATGTCCAGGTGGTATTAATATGTCTTTACTTTCCAATTTTGTATTCTCCGTCAGTTTATCAGATCTGTTATCAGAATCTACTTTCGTTACAGCCTTTTGTATTCGTTCAGGAACGATTTCAATCAATTTCTTATCCTTAATATCATCTTTAATGTTATTTGATACTGGTTTAGGTAATCGTATTTCTGATGTTTTATTCATTTCCGTTTGCATGCTCATGGAGTCTGTAAGCATATTATTAATTACATTTACATTTTTTAATTCACTATTTTTTTGTCCAATAATCTTTTTATCAACTTTACCCGAAGAATTAGTCATTTTGGAATCTATAGTTGGTTGTTTAAGAACTTTATACAGTTCCGATGATTTTCCGAAAGATTCTTGTTGCACCCCAGAATCATCTATCGTTATTATAGCCGTTGTAGAAGCTTCTATCGCATTTAAATCTTGCTCTATCTTAGGTTTTTTCATTATTTGTGAATCTGCATTATCTAATTTTCGTTTTCCTCGACCTAATAAATTAAAAAAAAAAAAAGAAAAAAAGGAATGAACAAAGTGATAAAAATATGAAAAAAACATAATTATATATATATATAATATAAATATATAAATAATTATATATATAACATAATTATATAATACACATAAACTATTTGAAAAATACAAACCTCGTCCTCTACCTCTTCTAGGAGGAGCATAACTTTTCTGATTCCTACAAGTTCTCTTAGGTCTTTCATTCTCTCTGGA